TATTTGCACTACCCAGGATTCAGGTATATGCAACAAAGTAAGAAAGAATGGAATTGAATGCAGCAAAAACATTAATAATGATTCTCATTGGATGATAAGATTACAAGTAATTATTTTCTTTATGTATTTCTAAATTTTACCATTTTCTGCTAAAAAAAAGTCATTAAAAACAACTTTAAAAAGTTCTTTTTAAAACCAAAGTTCACAAGATTACTGAGCAATAAAAGATCAAAGCCTGATATGAGAATGTTGATTTTGCAATCAACCTGATCACTAAGACATAAACCCTTTTTCAACTGGGATTTTGAACTTGGATTCCTGAGACCCCTAGAGATTTCATGTTTGAGTTTCAGATACTCTCAGAGTCCCCCTGATATTTTATCAAAAATGTTTACTCACTATATGCTGATGTGCATTTTTCTGGAGACGCTATGTATACAGATTTTAGATATTTAAATGGATTCTTGACCACAAAAGTTTAAAATCAATATATATAACATTTCGTTGAAAAACTTCTGAATCTATTTATTCTGAATATGGTTAATATTTTGTTTTTAAGTGCCATTGAGTCGATTGCCACTCATAGCGACACTGTACAGGGTTTCCAAGAAGCAGCTGGTAGGTTTGAACCACTGACCTTATGATTCGAAGTCCAGTGCTTATCCTACAGCACCTCACCAGAAGTTCAGTATCATCAAGTCCTAATTTGGATCCTTTCCCTACCATCTAATTTGACAGCTATTTAACATGCTGTTTGGGATCGTACTGATAATTCTTACAAACATAAATGTAGTATACCAAGCAACATTCACTATAGAACCTGTCACATTGGCTAGTATTTAAAGGTCTAAATAAACTATAAAAACTAATTATATTGTAAAATGCATAATTGCTAATATTGTTTTACATTTTACCAAGAAACTGAATATGTAATCCCTGTTAATTCTCTCTCTCAGTTTTCCATTCAACAATTCATACACATTTTGTTTCATCTCATTGATTGCAATCCCCGCAATGTAACATCCCTTATCCCACTTCCTCCTTCATTTCCTGTTTCCATTCCTCCTTCTTTCCTAATCCTTCTGAACTTTGTCCTTGGGTAAATACTGCCCTTTTGATCTAAGGTATGCATACCTCCCTAGTGTTTTTGTTCCCCTTATAGACCTGTGTTCCCCTAATAGACCTGTCTATCATTTGGCTAAAGGGCTCTGGTAGGATAATGGTTACGAGTCAGGCTGCTAGCCTCAAGCTCAGCAGTTCGAAACTACCAGCCGTTCCATGGGAGAACAATGAGGCATTCTGCTCCTGTAAAGATTTACAGCTCGGAAACACTATGCAGGGTCACTGTAAGTCAGAACCGACTCCATAGCACATAACCACCACTGCCACCATTGTTTGGCTGACAGGTAATTTTGTTCGTTCTTAGCATAACTGTGATGTAATATCATTTCCATTTCACAAATAAGAAAGCTAAGACTTAGATCAATGAAATGACCAGTCCACATCTCCTGATACCTGGACCACTGCTATTTATACTTCTCAAGGTCTCCTTCTTCACGTGCCCCTGCAAAATACGCTCTGCCTCCCTCCGCTCAAATCAAGTTCTCTCCTTGGGACCCAAGAGATGGATCTTGATCAAACTGAAGAAAAATATGAAACAGAACTTCAAACTCATGAAAACCAGACTTACTGGATCCATTTAGACTGAGAAATCCCTGAATCGATTGCCCAGAAATCCTCTTTAAATCTTGAACTGAAACTAACCCATGAAGTCATCTTTAAACAATAATTTAACTCAGCTACTAAAGCATGTGGCACTGTAGGATAAGCAATAGACTACAATGTCGGTTTGAACCACAAGTTCAGCAGTTCACACTTAGCAGCCATTCCTTGGAAACCTTATACATAAAGAGCTCTGGTAGTATAGTGGTTATGAGTCGGGCTGCTAATCTCAAGGTCAGCAGTTCGAAATTACCAGCCATTCCGCAGGATTAAGATGAGGCTATCTGCTCCCATTTTTTTTCCCCAGTCGCATTCTGAGTGCCTTCCCACCTTCCGGTCCTGTATCTGACAATGTTTCTCTGCTATTCATAGAGTTTTCAGTGACTAGCGATTCGGAAGTAGTTTGTCACTCTTTCTTCCCAGTCTGACTTCGTCTGGAAGCTCATCTGAAACCTGTCCACCATGTGTGGCAGCAGTGGTGAGGTTGGCCCAGGATCAGACATTATTTTGTTCTGCTGTGCATGGGGTCGCTATGAGTTGGTTCCGACTCGATGGCACCTGATAACAACAACAATCTGCTCCCATAAAGATATTGTTTTTGTTGTTGTTAAGTACCATCAAGTCGGTACCAACTCATCCATCCTTATGCACAGGAGAACGAAATACTGCCTGATCCTGGGCAAACCTCAATACTGTTGGCACACTGGAGTCCATTGATGCTGCCACTTGGCCAATCCATCTCGTTGGGGGTCTTCCTCTTTTTCTCTAACCCTCCACCTTACCAAACATGATATCCTTCTCCAGCGACTGGTCCCTTCTAACCATATGCCTAAAGTATGAGAGACAAAGTTTGACCATCTTGGCTTCCAAGGAGCACTCTAGCTGTACTTCATCCAAAATGCATCTATTGGTTCTTTTGGCAGCCCATGGCACTTTCAACATTCTCCTCCAATACCATAACTCAAAAGCATCAATTGTTCTACGGTCTTCCTTATTCACTGTCCAGCTTTCACATGCATATGAGGTTATTGAAAACACCATGACTTGGGTCAGGCGCACCTTAGTCCTCAAGCTGACATCTTTGCTCTTCAACACTTTAAAAAGGCCTTGTGCAGCAGATTTGCCTAATGAAATATGTTGTTTGATTTCTTGACTGCTTCTTCCATGAGTGTTGATAGTTGATCCAAGAAGAATGAAGTCCTTGACAACTTCAATCTTTTCTCCTTTGATAAGATTGTTTATTGGTCCAGTGGTGAGGATTTGTGTTTTCTTTACATTGAGATATAATCCATACCGAAGGCTGTGCTCGTTGATCTTCATCAGTAAATGTTTTACGTCTTCTTCACTTTCAGCAAGCAAGGTTGTATCATCGGCATATCGCAGGTTGTTAATGAGTCTTCCTACAATCCTGATGCCATGTTTTTCTTCATATAACCCACCTTCTCAGATTATTTGCTCAGCATACAGGTTGAATAATTATGATGAAAGAATACAACCTTGTCACACACCTTTCTTAATTTTAAAACATTCAGTGTTCCCATATTCTGTTCGAACAACTGCCTCTTGGTCCAGGTACAGATTTCTCATGAGAACAATTAAGTGTTCCGGAATACTCATACGTCTCAATGTTGACCATAGCTTGTCATGATCCACACAATCATGACAAGCTAGTCAACAAAGCACAGGTAAACATTTTTCTGATATTCTCTGCTTTCAGCCAAGATCCATCAGATATCAGCAATGATATCCCTCGATCCACGGCCTCTTCTGAATCTGGCTTGAACCTCTGGAAGTTCTCTGTCAGTGTATGCATGCAGCCGTTTCTGTATGACCTTTAGTAAAACTTTACTCGCATTTGCTGATGGGGCACAACTCAAAGTGAAGAGAAACAGCTGTAAACATCCACTGAAAATTAGAACATGGAATGTATGAAGTATGAATCTGGAAAAATTGGAAGTTGTCAAAAATGAAAAGGAACGCATAAACATGGATAGCTTAGGCATTAGTGAGCTGAAATGGACTGGTATTGGCCATTTTGAATCTGATGACCACATGGTTTACTATGCCGGAAATGACAAATTGAAGAGGCATGGTGTTGCATTCATTGTCAAAAAGAACATATCCAGAGCAGTCATGAGGTACAACGCTGTCTGTGATAGGATAATATCCATGCGCTACAGGGAAGCCCAGTTAATACCACTATTATTCACATTTATGCACCAACCACTAAAGCCAGTGAGGATGAAATAGAAGAATTCTACCAACTTCTTCAATCTGAAATTGATCAAACATGCAATCAAGATGTTTTAATCATTACTGGTGATTGGAATACAAAGGTTGGAAGCAAAGAGGAAGGATCAGTAGTTGGAAAATATGGCCTTGGTGATAGAAATGATGCTGGAGAATGCATGATAGAATTCAGCAAAATCAATGATTTGTTAATTTCAAATACCTTCTTTAGACAGCTTGACCCGCTGACCTTTCACTTCAAACCAACCTTGCAGTCCAGAGCATTAGCCCGCAGTGCCACACCAGGACTCCTAATGCTAGTAGGCATTGTTGTTGTTGTTGTTAAGTGCCGTCGAGTCGGTTTCGACCCATAGCGACCCTGCACAGGGTTTCCGAGGGTGTAAATCTTTACGGGAGTAGAAAGCCTCATCTTTCTCCCGCGGAGCAGCTGGTAGTTTCGAACCGCTGACCTTAAGGTTCGCAGCCCGATTCATAACCACTAGGTTCACATAAAATAAGATCACATAATTACTAAAAGTGGTCCCTAGATGGTACAAACGGTTATCATGCTTGGCTGCTATCCAAACAGTTGGCGGTTTGAGTCTCCCCAGAGATGCCTTAGAAGAAAGTCCGGACAGTCTAATTGTAAGAAGACCATCCAATGAAAACCCTTTGGAACACAGCTGTACTCTGACATGCATGACGTCACCGGGAATCAGAACTGTCTCAAAGGCAACTGGTGTGCTATAATTACGTGAAATATTGGCAGTGCATTTGAGGCTTAAATTAAGAAAAATATATATTCCAAACACCAGATATTGCAGATCTAGTGTATGCCAGGTACTGTACAAGGAATTAAGACACAGTGCCAACCCTCCAGAAGCTTACAATCTGGTGTGGGGAGAAAGGTAAGTGTCATCTCTTGAGCATGAACCCATAGTGGTTCAGAGGTGAAAGACTTTTCTCTTGTTGAAAAATAAGGAACGACTATGATTATAAGAGGAACCAAAGTAGTGCTTACAATTTATTTTGCATTTCTTTTCCTGTAGGCCCATAACAGAAACCTGCTCTCCATAGATTTTGATCATATAACCCGCACAGGAAAGATCTATGATGATCATCGGAAATTCACCCTTCGAATTCTTTATGACCAGACGGGGCGGCCTGTTCTGTGGTCTCCCGTAAGCAGATATAATGAAGTGAACATCACATATTCACCTTCAGGATTGGTGACATTTATTCAGAGAGGGACGTGGAATGAAAAAATGGAATATGACCAGAGTGGAAAAATCATTTCAAGAACTTGGGCTGATGGGAAAATTTGGAGCTATACCTACTTAGAAAAGGTAAGAGCATGACGTAGGAAGAAAAAAAGAATAAATTGATTTTGCATTTCTGAATGAAAATACTAAAAGTCACCCTCATTATCCAACTTGCCAAGGACCTCCTGTAAAAAAGTCTTTATTCCTGTTGTTCTGCTCTGTAGAAGTAATGACAACGGCAAAAACAAAATGTCAGACCCTTAAGGGTGAGCTGTTTTTCAGCTGAAAATCTTTCCCCAGTCCCACATTCTGCCAGGTACTCTTTCAAACTGTAGTGAAGATAATGGCTTTAAGCTTTCTCCTCATTTGAACACATTTGTTCATGCTCTCAGAAAGGCGTGTTTATTATTATGAAAGCTTATACTGAGGTAAAATACCTAGAAAATTATAAAATTGTGTGTTAATGTATTTCAGGCCCGGTAAAGAATCTCTTACTGGGAGGATAAGGCATACTAATTTTGTTAGGATTGTCCGTGGAATGTTAATAGTATACATTTGAGGACTAGTTTTCAAAAGTAATTGACCTGAGGGAGTAGTGACAGTGGGGCTTCACTGGTAATAGTCTGTTGCGTGCTGGGAGTCTCCAGTACCATGTATAATGGGAGCTCATGGACTCTGTCTGGTAAGAAAAGGATTCTAATCCCACCGCAGGACCATTTAGCATACGGCAGCCTCTACACAGAAAATTGCAGAAGGTCACATCACTACCAGAGGACAACAGAAATTCATCTCTATCTGCCATCTCAATTCCTGATCTCCTAAGATAATACTTCTTGTTTCCCAAATTCTCTATTCAGCTGAACTCATCAGACCTAATTAATTTCTGTGAACATTGAAAAATGTTTGCCTTTCAGTATTCAACGGTAATTACTGCAGGGTAACCCTTAAAACTTCTTAGGAAAGTCAGGAGTTCATAGCTCATGTGGCAAACTTTCATTAGTTGTGTTAAATGATGCCAAACCTTTATGATATACCTCTCAAAGTTTAAAAAATAAGAATAATAAAAGGTATGACTGTGGTTGTATGTCATTATAAAAATATTTTACTATTTTCCAGAGTCAGTCGTTAGGGAATTTACCAAGTTAGAACTGCCTAGGAGATAAAGTGGAACTTCACTTGGAGGTCAAGGCAAAAGGAAAGAGTTCACAAATCATGTTAACCTTCAGAGGATACAGTGGTCCTCTGCTATCTCTATGCCATGTGCATTTCTGTGGAAAAATCAATCACCGCTATAATCTGTACTCTACACTGGGAAAGTCTGAATCTGATAGAATCTAATATAGTAGTTGATAATGATTGACAAGAACCTATAACTAATGTCTACAAAGTGCCAAATTTGGTACAACGTTAACTGAATCCAAGTATTTGGTGCTATGACAAATGTCTCTTAAGGCAGAGAATGCAAACCAGGACTCCTGGTGTGGGGCTACAGGATCAGCACTGGATTGCAAACCACAAGGTAGACAGTTCAAACCCAACCAGCTGCTCCTTGCAGACCCTACACAGGGTCACTATGAGTCGGAACCAACTCAATGACACTTAGCAACAACAGCAATAGTTAATGTATTGTTGTTTTTGTTCTTGAGTGCCATCGAGTTGGTTCCGACCCATAGCGACCCTGTATAGGGCTTCTGAGGAGCGGCTGGTGAGCTTGAACAGCTGATCTGGTGGTTCAAAATTACTTTGCAGTCAAGTGCATTAACCCACAACACTACACCAGGACTCCAGAAAAAGCCCTAGTGACTTCCAAAGACTAATTTACTGGCCAGCAGACAAGCCAAATCATTGATGCCTTTTGTCCCTTTCTTGATTTCATGTCGAACAGAGAAGCAAAACTCGGAATCTACCAAACACGTAATTACAGAATGGTTCTTGACTTTACAAAAATCATTTATCATAAGATTTTTTAAATGGTGTTATTATCATAGATAATAACGAATTCACTGGATAGATATGATGGCTAAATGAAACAATGTAAATCACCCAGTACATGTAGTTATTCGATATGAAGGTAAGTCAAAAAGTATTGCTACGGGGGTTCCTGTTCATACATTCATTTTATTCCAAGCACAATGTATTTAAATGTGTCTCAGAGATCAGTGGTTGGCTACACATAAGTTCTTTCCGTAATACACTTGTCTTAGTGTTATTGGTGGTAGTGGTGGTGGTTATGTGCCATGGAGTCGGTTCTGACTCACAGTGACCCTGCGTAGGGTTGCTGAGGCTGTAAATCTTTACGGAAGCAGAAAGCGTCATCTTTCTCCCGCAGAACAGCTGGTAGTTTCAAACTGCTGACCTTAAAGTTTGCAGCCCAATTCGTAACCACTATGACTTAAAAAAAAAAAAAAAAAGGTCCAATCAAAACAGTGCCTTCTGAGGGAATATGCTGGGCCAGTTAAATTCAAGATAGAGAGGTCAGCTAAGAATGTTATGGTGACTGTTTTATGGGACTAAAAAGGGGTCATCTTGATAGATTTTCTCAAAGGACACAGGATGATCACAGGGGCTTATTAGTAAGAAAAGTTTTCACAAAATTGAAAATAGATTTGGTGAGGGAAAGGCCTAGACAGTTACATGGAGGAATGGTTTTCCATCACAAAACAGCTGCTCATTCCTGTAGTTAGGACTATTCTATGAGAGAGCAAATCTGCTGCACAAGACCTCTTTAAAGTGTTGAAGAGCAAAGATGTCAGTTTAAGGACTAAAGTGCACATGACCCTTAGGCTCAAAAGCCATGGTATTTTCAATAACCTCATCTGCATGTGAAAGTTGGACAGTGAATAGGAAGATGGCAGAAGAATTGATGCATTTGAGTTACAGTGTCGGAGGAGAATTAACAGATCTGTGTTGGAAGAAGTACAGCCAGAGTGCTCCTTGGAAGCCAGGATGGCCAGATTTTGCCTCTTATATTTTGGACATCCTCACCACTGGACCAATAAACAACATTCTTATCAACGGAGAAAAAATTGAAGTTGTCAAGGACTTCATTCTTCTTGAATCAACTATCAACACTCGTGGAAGAAGCAGTCAAGAGATCAGATGACATATTGCATTGGGCAAATCTGCTGCACAGGAACTTTTTGAAGTATTGAAGAACAGAGATGTCAGCTTGAGGACTAAGGTGTGCCTGACCCAAGCCATGGTATTTTCAATAACCTCATATGGATGCGAAAGCTGGACAGTGAATAAGGAAGACTGTAGAAGAATTGATGCCTTTGAGTTGTGGTGTTGGAGGAGAATACTAAAAGTGCCATGGACTGCCAAAAGAACCAATAGATCTATTTTGGAAGAAGTGCAACCAGAGTGCTCCTTGGAGGCCAGGATGGCTAAGCTCCGTCTCTCATACTTTGGACATATTGTCAGGAGAGAACAATCGCTGGAGAAGGATGTCATGCTGGGTAAGATGGAGGGTCAGAGAAAAAGAGGAAGACCTCCAATGAGATGGATCAGCCAGGTGGCATCATTGATGGCATCAAGTGTGGCAGCGATGGTGGGGTTGGCCCAGGATCGGACATTGTTTCATTCTGCTGTGTATGGGGTCGCTATGAGTCAGTTCTGACTTGGTGGCACCTGACAACAACAACAACATTTTGGACATACTGTCAGAAGTGACCAGTCCCTGGAAAAGGTCAGAGAAAAAGACGAAGACCCCAACGAGATGAAATGGCACAGTGGAAGCAGCAATGGGCTCCGGTGTAGCAATAATTGTGAGGTTGGTCCAGGACCGGGCAGTGTTTTGTTCTGTTGTGCATAGGGCTGTTATGAATCAGTACCAACTTGATGGCATCTGACCACAACAATGAGAATTGCATTGAAAAATCATACCCTGTACCACAAACAGAAACTCAGCATTTTAAAGGAACAAGCTTTTTAGTCTCTTCTTGTTAAGTGCCATCCAGTCGGTTCTGACTCACAGTGAGTATAGGATTTCGGAGAAGTGGCTCATGGGTTTGAACCTTGTGGCTAG